GAGAGAGAGAGAGAGAGAGAGAGAGAGAGAGAGAGAGAGAGAGAGAGAGAGAGAGAATAGTATTTTAATAAAAGTTTAATATAAAATCTTTTTTTTATAAGGTTACGGGCATTCCACTCCTGTGACTAAAACCGGAAAGGCATTTTGTATGGTATATGCAGTGGTAGGAATTCCTTTGGGATTGGTAATGTTTCAAAGCATTGGTGAACGATTGAACAAGTTTGCATCAGTTGTGATTAGACGAGCAAAGACATATCTCAGATGTCAAAGAACCGAAGCTACAGAGATGAATCTCATGCTAGCGACTGGTTTACTTTCAAGTATAATTATTACGACAGGTGCTGCAGTGTTTTCGAGATATGAGGGTTGGAGCTACTTTGATAGTTTTTATTACTGTTTTGTGACGCTTACAACTATAGGTTTTGGTGACTATGTCGCTCTTCAGGTAAATAACGTTTGGTTGATCGTCAGCAAGAGAAGCAGTGAGATTTATAGACAAATTACTTTGCAGAATGATCAAGCGCTTTCCAATAAACCTGGATATGTGATTTTGAGTTTGATCTTTATCCTATTTGGTTTAGCCGTAGTCGCAGCCAGTATTAATTTGCTCGTATTGCGCTTCATGACGACGTAAATATCTACTATTTTTCTGTAATAGAAGGCGAATTATTTTACAGATATGTGAAAAAATTATTAATATCCTGCGAAACATCACTTTAGGGATTCCGGTGAGGCGCGTCGTGACGACACTGAGTTGCAATCGGCTTCCCATCACGTATTGACATTAGACGGCGAGGTTGTAGCGGTAAATGGAAAGCTTCTGGCCAGTCACGTGCCTGTCGTGCACGACACGGACGATTGTGTGAGCGTATGCTCTTGCACTTGTCTAGGCCCAGCGAATTCCGAGTTATTGGATCCTTCCGGATATCAGGGATATCGACCACCCCCAACTTCTGCCAGTCTCCGAGTAAAACGTGCGTCCGTCTGATGGAGGGAGTTTCGTCGTCGCAGTTTACGTCGCCGATTTTCAAAGGCCGATAGTCGAGAATTGCTCGGCATTGATGTTTAAGATTGCTGCCCCGCACAAAAAGCTCCTCGCGAGAAAATACCGCACACTGTGATACATCTACGAAGGACAATTTATAACTTTTCGTAAAGATTTTCACATTTTGTGTGGAAAGTAAAATTTTAAAAACTGCCATTTGAAAAAATATTTGATGTTTGATACGTCTAATTAGAACTCTGATTGTTGATCGTTGTCCGAGTCCTGGTTAAAATTTGAAGAGGGACACTTAAATAATGTGTTCCTATTGCATTTTTTTGACGTTATATCAACCCATATCCCAAAACAAGTTGATGCATTTTGATAATTAATGTTGCTCAACTGTGTCGATTTTTGACGCATGGATGACGTGTATGTAATCCCCGTGTTACGCTTAATTTGTCAAGTGAAAATACGACAAATTATTCGAGTGGTGATCTTTGCAATATTGCATAATATATCTTAAAAAGTGGAACATCCAATAAACCTCAGAAGGGATATATGTACGATCGAGTTATCGGCTCGCGAATTATTCAAAAGATGATGACGCATTTGTATATCGTAATATTGTTAATGTTATATTAATGTAATATGTATGCAAAATGAAGAAGCATAGAACATTTTGATAATCTAGAGGTTTTCATATTTAACAGGATTAACATAACATGCAATTGAATACACGTACTACTACTATTTTTCTCATTTTGTATAAACAGATTTGGCTGCAATTGCTATATGTCTATTATTATTTATTTAACAAAATTTTTATTTTTTATTTTACTGTTAACTTGCATAATTTTTTTCGTCAGTTAAAAAATATTTTTGCACGAAATATAAATTTGAACTTATTCTGAGTGAAATACATTGCTTTTTGCTATATTAAATACATATATAAAATAACGTCACCATTTAATTATATCATTAGTACTTTTGGAGTAGTTAATTTTTCTGATTGTATGAGTAAATTTTGAGGAAATTCCATAAGATATATATAAATATTAGGAGTCAAAATTGGGTGGAAGTGAAAACAGACACATCAATTTTTGAAATACAGAATGGCACATAAAAAATATCATATCACCATTTATTTCATACATAACACTTTTATGTTTAATAAAATTGGTATAGAATTGATAATTAGTATAGAATATACAAAATTAATGTAAAGCTTGAAAAATTATCTAATAGATAACATTCAACATGAATCCTTATGTTTGGCTCATAATTTCTTGAAGAGTTTGACTTGTTATTTTTCGATAAATCTTCAGCATGACACAGTTATATACGGCATGATGGAAACGTTTTGTGTCTTTGAGTTTCTGTCACACTCTTTGTTTTCATAAATAACAATATAACTTTGATTTGGCGGTTAACATTTTAAGTCAACTATCCGCCGTTGCATTATTTGACAAGTTGACGTCATTACCTCGCTGCTCAATTCTGATACCATATCTAGCAAAATTTCCACGAAGTACGTACAGAATTTGTTTACATTATTAAAAAAAAAAAAAGATACCTCACAAATTCATATTCAATGAAATAATTAAGTGGTATGATGTTTCGTGCGCCAGCCTGTAATTGAGAACCTCTAATCTAGCAAGAGGTCTGTTCGCGTTGCTTGCACATTTTGCACTCAGCATCTTCGCTTTCTCTCTTTTCAATGCCCAATGTATCTATATCATTTTAAGTTCAAAAATTTTTGGAGATTTCAAGCAACGCAAACAGACCTAATATCGTATTATATCGCAAAAACTATGTATACATATATACGAGTATAAACACGATAGAACAATATTCTGTGTAGATATTGAGCCTCAACAACGTATTGTATATCCCATTTATATTTGTAAAGAAATTTTGCCTCGAGAAATTCGACGTGATCATTTACGTAATTCGGGCACTTATCATGGAATATGTAAGTCGGAATGGATTCCGATTGGAATTATTTCATTTTTCCGAGAAAATACAATAGAAATCTAGAGAATAATCGAATAATTTCGATCGGAATCCATTTCGAATAATTTCATAATGCGTACCTAAATCAGAAATATATACATAGATGTGTATTGTGACTCTCTCATATTTTTTAAAGATGTTTACAAAATAAAGTGAAGAATGCAAGAAAATACCCGGAAAGACTGATAGCTTAAATTAAAACCGACATAATTGCTATTTGTTTCAATAAAAGTCTTTGAGCCTTTATTGTTTAGTTGTGTCGATACTTTTTAAAATAGTTTATCAAGTATTTTTTAATATCATGTTATTTGAAATAAAATGAAAATATCAAACGGTAATAAAAAATAATTTATTTTTTTTTAAATGTCATTTCTTATAATATCCATTGCGTATTAATAATTAAATATATTAAAAGTGAAAGTGGCATTTTAACATTCTTTTTATTTATATTTTATTTTCTAATGACTCGCGTTAAAAAGTTGAGAGATAAAATATACGTTTAATTACATAGTCACAATTGTTACGACCCCATATACGCTCAATTATTATATTTAGTTACAAATGTACATAATAATTTTCGCTTGTTTAATTCTTGAGAAAAAGTTTAAACTGAAATATATGTGTATATACATATATATCGGTAATATTATAGTGAAATTCGATTCTTTCTGAATGCATTATAATAATGTGTGCAATATTTAAAAGTACACACTAGTCATACCAGAGAGAAATCTGAGAAGATGATGAGAGCCTTTTTCCTAAATCACAAAATGTTCCCGCGCACTACTGCCCTCTGAAGAAATGGATGTAAACTACAATATATACCATTTTTTGCAATGCTCCTGGTGGAAATAAATAATAAATCGCTGAAATAATTAAAATCAAATTAATAGAGATTCAGGAACCTGAATTTTCTCTGCCTCTATATTCATAGTCGGATCTTATATTTAAGATCGTCTTAAGTACAATCTTAAGATATCATGAACCATTTAGAAAGGCGCATTACCATCTTAAGACGGTCTTAAAATAAGAAAAATATATAAGATCCGACTATGATGATATATCATTTTATCCTTCTTTATTATTCAGTGAACAACAAAGACAAATGATGATGCATCATGCGCTTCGTACGTAACGACTCGCGGGAAACGGGAATGCACCCCTATACTCCGTTCAACGAGAGAATGACTTCGGATCGGACGAAACGGACTCGTCCGTTTTGCGCAGCTCTTCATAGCGTTATATTTATGTACATACATATACATACAGCTTTATATTGCCTGCTATGCGGAAACCGAGGTCATTCTCTCGTTGAACAGAGTACAGTCATAGAAGTCTGTGATTAATGATTATAAATAAAATGCAAGCGACAATTTTCGAAAAACAATAGAAGTTTTCTTTGGACATAACAATTGCAATATTATTCAAATATTAATATATTATCAAATCGTTTAACCTTATATATATGCCACTTATCAATACTTATTCATTGATGATCAAAATTAAGTTATCAAAGTAATGACCGAGCATAAATGTGAATTGTCCTTAAAAAAAGAAAACAAGTTTAAACCATTGACTTTCAAAAATATATGGGCTACATGGTGTGGTATCAGCAAATACACTCCAAAATGCATTTTTTATATGGATAGCACGGCTACAATAAATGCTGAAAAAATAAGGCACACTGGATCTAAATATTGGTGGATAATACATCCATTCAGCTATGCTAGGCACGTTTTGAACGTAAAAGAAGTTATTTAATAAATTTTCTAAACACTCTTACACTCTAAAATACTTTTACTTTTCCTCAATCAACAAAACATATATTGTTTTATTTCTGATTAAGAGAATTTACAGATTAATGTGGGATACCTTAATGGTGGCAATATATTTTATCGCTTTCTTTACAATTCCATTTATGATTTGCTTCGTTACAATGGATTATGAAGTAATTGGTCTGGATATAGTGAATATTCCAATTTATGCGATCTGCTGGATAGATATAATGCTCAATTGTATTACGGGATATTACGACAAGAAGACCAGGTCTATTGAATTGAAACCTATTAAGATACTTATGTGAGATATCATTATTTATAATATATATTAACATTTTTTTTTTGCTTATTCAATTGTTTTTATTAATTTGTATTTAATGCTAAATATATATTCTTCGATAGATTCTATCTTAAAGGATTTCTTATGCTAGATATGCTATCATCTTTTCCATATGATCATATGACACTGCGATGGCGAAGATTGCCGGGAAATAAACCTGATTATATCGTTATTTTAATTAATATCATGCCTGTCATGAAGTTGACACGCTATCATACTTTCAATTCAAACATTTATTATCTATTTACGGTAATCTGTCTTTATCATAATTATTTTCTACGAAGATATACAACGGCATTATATCGTGTAAATTACATTATTTTCAGCATTTTGAAATAAAAATCTTTTTTTTTGAATTGTGTACTATCTTATTGCTAGGATTGTACTTCATCTTTTGGTGTTCTTGTTTGTGTTACTTAATACCGATTTTAATTATGTACTTTGCCAACATTCCACCGGAAGTAAGCCATGTTTATAATATTGATCTACGCGAATATTTCCACGTTTTTATATTTTTTAAAGATGCATTTATTAAAATGTACTTATAAAATACAATGTGTGTCAAAAGGAATATAAGACTTATTGGATGATGAAAATGAAAGACATCACTCTCAAGTTAAGATTCAAGAATGCTGTATTTGTTGTATTGGAAAATATATTATCAAGTGGCTATGGTATATTCATACCAGAGACAGATGCCCGTATCATTTTCAATTGCATGCTTATGATTGTCGGCAGAATTATTGTATGCTATTTATTGAGTAAGATATATTGAGTAATATCTACACATTTTTACCAGAAGTTACCAGTGCATTATTAAATATTTCTTTTGGATTATCAAACATGCTGCTGTATCTTTCAGTTATGTTCCTTCGTTTCAAAGCTGAAAAAAAATCATCCCAATCAAAATTTCAAGAGTTAATAGATCAAGTCAAAGCATACACAAGACAAAAACAATTATTACCACATATGAAGAAACGTCTTTTAGCTTATTATCATTATCGGTTCAAAGATACCTATTTTCACAGTAAACAGATTTTATCAGATTTGACAGGTTAGTAAAAATATTATATAGAGAGGAAAAGAATAAGCTGGAGCACATGACAGAATATAAAATTCTTAGCAAGATAGTAACTATTGAAATTAAATTTGGATTTTTTCGAGTGGTCTTTCACTCTCGAATCAAACAAACATCGTTGCTCGATACTCTCGCTGACTCGATTTGATTCGCTTCTTATTTTCACTGGCCTCTACTGATTCTTTGCACTATTTTTGTTATTTGCGCTCGTTGATTCGCGCTGATTCATTTCTTAAATGCGCCGACTCGCTAAGACTCGCACTGTGACTCGCGAGAGTGAAAGATCCCTTGGATTTTTTGCAGAACCATTACGAGAAGAGATTGCGCTTCAGTCTTGTCGACGATTAATTGAAAACGTGGCAATTTTTAAGAATTTACCAAGAGATGTTCTGCAATTAATAGTGAAGCACTTAAAATTTGAGTTATATTTGCCAAATGACATAATCATTAAAGCTGGTAGTCAAGGTGATTGTATGTATTTTTTATCCTCGGGAACTGTTGCGATTTTGACGCCAACTGGAAAGGAAGTTAGTTTTTTAAAATATTCAATATTGAATTTACGTTTATATATTGCGAAAAAGAAATTTTACTCTTTGTTATTTCGAGATGTGTCATTTGAATGACGGTGCCCATTTCGGCGAAATCGCACTCTTAATGGCGGATCAGCGAAGAATAGCTAGTGTTGTCGCAATCGAAGTCTGTGAGTTGTATCGATTAGATCGTAAAGACTTTCGTCATTGCATAAACGTACACAGCGAGCTATTCGCGGAGATCGAACGCATCTCTACGGAACGTATAGAAAAAACTGTCAGAGCTGAGGAACAACACAAGCGTTTTATGATGCGTCCTAGTCGCACGCCGAATTTACGCAATGAATCAAAGGAAATTTGATTTTATATATATAGGTATGTGTTACTTACTGTTTGATTCGGAATAAATATTTTAGAGTTTTGGATTAGTAATTCTTTATGTCACTAACATATAAAATTACTCATAGTAATTGATTTTACTAAGAAACTATTATCGCTAATAATTAGAAAAAAAATTTGTTTCATATAAACGATTTCGTTGATTGGTTTTTTGTTACGTAAAACAATAATCATTCTGACAGTAATGTCGCATATATTTAAAGACCTTATATATATTATTATTGTCCATACAATAATTGTATAAGATAAAGACATTCTCTCCTGTACTTATACCTACTTTTATTTAAAAATTATATATATATGTGTGTGTGTGTGTGTGTGTGTGTGTGTGTGTGTGTGTGTGTGTGTGTGTGTGTGTACGTGCGCGTGCGTGTGTGTGTGCGCGTGCGCGCGCGCGTGTGTGTGTGTGTATGTGCGCGTGCGTGTGTGTGTGCGCGTGCGCGCGCGTGTGTGTGTGTGTGTGTGTGTGTGTGTGTGTGTGTGTGTGCGTGTGTTAATCATTACATACAATATATTTATAATTACAATTACATTCGCTAAGATTATGGTAGTGATGAATGTATATATACTTCTATCTGGATGTAATATATATGAGAGGTATAAATCATGGTTATTTTTTTCTTGATAAATTCTTGTCGAAATTTATGATATCGATTGTAATGAAATATCGCCAAAATTGCAAGATTGAGATGGAAATTGAGTGCGACACTTTATATGCTAAGGAAAATGATCAATGTGGATCAGTATCAATTAGTCATTGCGGAATTCCGCCATGATCAATTAGCCAGTTTTGTTACGCGCGATTTCAACACGAAGTCGTGAGAATCGCGATTCCAATATAATATAATTAAGTTTATGATTGTAACTAAATGCACATTGGTAATTACTATACAAATATGTGTATCACGTTTTCGAAGTATTATATGTGATAATGTGGAATTAATGATCGATCAACAGTGTGAAAATGATATATCTACATGTAAAATACGGAGCATGTTCAAAAGTTACAACGTCTCGAATCGTATGATGTAAATAATTATTTACAATAGGCATTAATATGCACAGCACAAGCGGCGGGATTTTCTAACGTTTTATATCGACGGTACTATCATTAACTAGTAGATAACCAATGAGAGTCGCGTTTTTTCCAGGATCGTCCTTGCCTTGGCTATCATTAGTTAATGATAGTGACAATCATTGCTAAAACGTTAGAGAATCCCACTACAGCTGATATTAATGTACCTATGTCTATATAGGATACGCTTATGATTTTTCACGCAACCTTTACCTTTTCGTGCATTTTCGTTTTTCATTCGTTCATTCTTTCTCCTGCAATTAATTCCGAATCTACGGGAATAGCTGATCAACGTCGATGGCTTATAATAATATAATTACTAAAATCGCTTTATCGAATTAAATGGAACAGTACACTAAGTGACACTTTTTACTATAGCAGTTATTACATATCTTTTGATCGTATTTAAAGGAGAGTATAGAGGAGAAGAGTACTTAATATCTTCACCGATATTATATTCTTATTAGAGAATATGTTGGATGAATATGTCTTCTGAATGAATTTAATCTTTCTGAATGAATTAATTATATTTTGTTTTATTACGCTACAACCAGACATTATCTTGAAAAGAAATACGAAGGTATATAGTTATTTATACTAATAAGACGTGTATATTCAGTACTCTTTTCCCAATCGTTTTAAAGATCATCTAATAAGGCACTGTGTTTTTACTGCGACTGAACTGGTGCAAGTATGGAACACTCAAGAGTTGGTCTAAAGATTTATAATATCTATGTCGATTCTGATCGGTAACAATCTCGACTTATGACTTACATTTACGATGCGTGTATAAATGTGTTTTGATTTGCCTTTTCTCTTCCCATTTACCTTTATCATTGTCAATTTTATAATTGATATTTCAATGACCTACATCATGAATAATGATTGTTTGGTATATAAAGATAGTAAACGGTATGTAATTATAATAGTTACGATTAAAATGTTTCAGGAACAAACGTTACAACAAATATGCATTTGAATGCAATAGCTGATTATTATATAGATAAAGTAAAAGATTGACTATATATGTATTATGCAAGTAAAAGATGTAATGCGATGCACAATTTAAGAATATTGCGAATTGAGCGCAAAGTTATATCGATATTAAAATTGATATTATACAATATATTTTATCCATTTAGGCATTCTGGGAACATTCTTAGAGTATTTAAAGGACAACATAATAACATTCTGTGGCCATTAGAATGTCCTTTGGAAATCAGTGCTGTATGGCTGCATGTTTAAATATAGTTTTACTTTCAGAATGGATAATAAAATTTCAAACAGGGTTGATAAAAATCATGTTTTAAATATGTTTTAAACTATTTAAAACATGCTTAATCGATGTTTTTAATATGTTTTAAACATGTTTTTTTTTTAATATTATTTAAAGCATGTTGAAGCATTAAAAACATGTTTGAAAAAAAATTATCTTTTATCAACCCTGATTTCAAATGGGGATTTATTGTCAATCTCAAGTTCACTGAGGATAAACATTTCATTACATATAATCTAAATTGCTTTCGGAGAGAGTAAACTCACTAAATGTACATTAAATCAAAGCTACATGTCCATCTAAAAAATATTCATCTTTTTCATATTTGAAGAAAATAACCAAAATTTGAAAATCGAAATTCTCAACTAAATACAAATTTTAAAGTTCTGTTTCATCATTATCTTCAATAGACACATTGGATGCTTTTCAATTGTAAAATTGGACGTTTTCGTTCACATGGCGACATAAGTTTTGCATTCCGATTGCTATAATCGTCGATACAACATTACAGACTATACATTCGTACTCAGCATTCAGCATTTCAGCCTGAAGATTGAATTTTTCAGCTTGAATTTTTGGCACTTGACATCTTCGTTTTCTCTTTTTTCAAGACAAAATATGGATTTCATTTTAAGTGCAAAAATATTTGGGGATTCATGCAACGCGAACAGACCTATAATCTTCAGGCTGAGCGCTGAGTACGAATGTATAGTCTGTAGTGTGTGAACAGGGCTTATGTAAGTTGTATTTTCTAGTGACAATTATATGTCACTAACTGCGCGGCGCTATAAATGAGATTGAAGGACATTGAGTAATACTTTTACTTTTTGAATACAGGCAGAAAAAGCTACATTTAACTAACTCTGTCAGAAACAGATCAAAATCGTATCTGTTTTAATTGAATTGTGCATATGCTATACTCTTATAAGCATATGATATTATTTAATACTATGCGCCTATAGGGATTTTATGCATTCTGTATATGCTATGTTAAAGATTCATTGAGCAATTGGAAAGCACCCATTTACTATTGACGTTTGTTAGTGATACATTAAGCACTCTTTTAAAAAATGATGCATATGTCATGTATATATATGCACACCCGCGCGCTCGCGCGCGCGTGTGTGTGTGTGTGTGAGGTAATGGAAGATAATGAGAATAATTTGGAGTCGCATTATGTGATAATACATATGCGAGTATAAGAACCAACTTATAAAATATTATAAATGACATATTATATAATAAACTATTTATATTATACAACATAATGTGAGTGCATACACATATTAATACAAATATAGATACAGATCCTTTTTTAATTACGCAGTATAATGTGTCCAATGAAGGACTTCATTCAACTTATTGTTACACAATGTTCTATGCAAGTAAATTTTATTTTTTGTATATCGTTTCATCGTAGCGTGCGCACTAACTCTATGCTGCGTGGAAAGGAATGGAATATTATCTCACATGTATAACACTCTTCAAGATTGTGCAGGAATTGTTGAAATTTTGCTATTGATTCAAAAAAGAAATTTCTCAAGAATTGCACGTTATTGTGCTGCTGTGAGTTATCATAAATATTCGACAATTAACTTGAAGTATAATTATTACACAAAATATATATTAAATTTAAAAAAATACTATTTGAAAACAGTATTTCCTGCATATTCTATAAACGATCCGCAAAATTACGCGCTTGATCTGCACTGTCTGCAGTCGACATTGGTTACTTTGACAACATAGGATGTCATCTGGAAGGTATGCGCGATTGCGACGTTTCTACTTATCTTTTAAGAACAAGTAGTTAATTACCTCGCCTAATATGGCTTCATCGGACTAGGATTTAGCATCAGACCGTATATACATGGATAAACGTCGAAGAACAAGATCGCACAGGCCGAATGTCAGGCCGAATGGCGTGATGTCAGTTCGCACAGTTTAGATGAGAATGTGTGTGTGTGTGTGTGTGCGCGCGCGCGCGCGCGCACACACACACACACACATATATCGTATACATATACATATTATACCGATGTATAAACGCTCTAAGGCTTTGGCAGTGATTTAATTTTTAATTAATCGATTATCCGGTACGTCCGATAAGAGCAGGTACGCGCAATTTCTTTCTCATTTTTTTCTATTGCGAATCCCGCCGGCTACGATCCAGAATCGATATTTATGTTAGTATTTACCTACGTGTTATCACGTGTGTCGGAAATATCGAAAAGTCAATTAGATATCTTATACAAGCATTCGCGGAATAAATCTTCTTTTTCTTCTCGAATTATCAATATGAGGTCCTCTCGCTGGTAACTGGCCGGCCTCTGTGCATGATCGGCAGCAAAACTTTGCATAGTACTTGTGTGTACAATACTTGGCTGCAACAATAAGTTCGCAGTTGGCGAAAAAAGTGTTATCCTGGCAATGGGGATGAATAAAGATACCTGAAAAAAATCAATTATATTAATGAAATGTATATTGAATTGTTTGCATGAAGGAATATTTATAAAGAAAATATGTATGTATATTGATATGAATCAAAGTCACTCTCACCAGCTACGCGTATATCAACGTTATCAGAATCCGAAGAGAATTCATTGGCTGCTTCGCATCGATATCGGCCAGAGTCCTCCCGATTTGCGTCGCTAATGATAAGTCGATTGAGTTCTGCACACACACACACACACACACACACATATACAAATAAAAATATATAATTTATATTGTTATCATTCATTCTATTACTATTATTATAGAGAAAAAAATTTAATCTGTAATATATTTAATCTGTAATTATACAAAGAAACAGTTGCTTTATAACAATTGCTTTTTAGATTTTCACGGGTACTTTTAGATCTTCAAATGTACCAGAAGGTTTGCGGATTATCGCGGTATTTTCATCTATTGCTAATGTCAATTTTGCCATTTACTTCATTAGGATCTGCAAATCTTCTGGTATCTTTGAAAATATTTGCTTTTTATAAAAACGTATCGACATTAGGATTTGTGTGATTTTACCAGAAATTTTTATTCGATTGTTGGTTTGAATAAGTTCGTCGTCCTTATACCAGAGTACACGTGGGATCGGATAACCATCAACATTGCAAGCGATGCTTATGTCACTGCCTTCAGGGAATTGTGATTGTCCTGCCGACACATTGACTTTGACCGGCACTGTGTGATTGAAAAATAAGATTTATTAATATTCTCAAAGCGGTAAAAACTTTATTAAATAAATATTAAAAAATTATGTTCTCTCCATAGATAAGAGAATGTATAAAGTCTTCCTTTGGGAATACACTTACATCGATCGTTTTCATTTCCTTGTAATGATAGAGAGATATATTGTTAATCATATTAAATTCTTAGAATACATATAGAATAGCCAATAAGCAAGAGTTGTCTTAACGCAGTTTCAACCTTATAATACAATGCGATGTAAATTTTCATATTAGGCGTGCATGCAGGAAAAAGAAATTAATCAAGACAAATTCAATTACATATCATAATTATTGTCAACAGTAGTGCGGAGTAGGACATTTTGGAGAAACTTTATGTGAAAGATACAATGAAAAATAAGTCTTTCATCCATGCACGTGAAGTCTTTACGGAAGAAGTCTACAGCAACAAATTAATTTAATCACAATTGTTGGTATAATGTAGCTGGACGCTGATAAGTATCAGCCATCACTTAGCCTCACCTTTGAACTTGGCGCTACTGGACTCAGTGGTAGTGATTTCAAGAGGAACAACACGAGGAATGTGAGGTGGTTTCGAGGAATAGACGGGAGCGTAAGTTTGATGTTCTGGAGACTGCGTTCTGGTAGGTCTGTAAGGATATTGTGGTTTTTCGGTAGTGGGTCTCTTCGGTGGTTGGACAAGATATTTGGTGTACTCTTCGTGTTCAGATTTAACATTGTAGACAGGTCCGATTGCTTGCAAGGTTGTCGACCAAGAGGCCGGTGTACCGATGCCATTAAACGCCTGGCAAGTGTAAATGCCGAGGTTAGTTAGAGTTACCGAGCGTATCAAGAGAGTATAATCAGTGTCTTGCTCGTAATTGTCCGAAAATAGAGGTAACATTTGGTCGCCACGCCACCAAGTGACAAATGGCCTCGGCCATCCCATGGCATAACAATGCAAAGTTATCGGCGAGTTCATCGTCACCGTTATACGAGTATTGGGCTCTCCGATGATAGCGACGGGAAGTTCATTTGGTTCTAAAGAATGTAAGAAAAAAGGCATGCACGATGCTTAGAAAGATGTTAATTGCACCATCACCACGAAAATCACAAATATTGATATCCAATTTATAACTAGTACATGTGACATTATTAAATTCATTTCATTTCATGCCAATCCAAAGTGCATTTCTCTAAAACGTAAATCCACAATCGATATCTTAGTAAACGTATTTGATATTAGTATTAAATGAAAATGGAAAAATTTATATTATTCTAATATTCGAATGCATTTCATAAGACATTTATAACAAAAGTAGTATACCAAAATGCCATGGTTGATCAATGATAGTCTACCGAAAATTAATATTGAGCAAAACTCACTTTGTGAAATAAATGGATTTTCTATGTACCTGTGACGTCTAATTGATACTCCGCCCTTACCGGTGGCCCTAAACCATTATCAGCGGTACATACATAAGTACCTCTATCGTAAGTATATAAATTAATGATCTGAAGAGATCCATCGAGTAGTATACGCCGTCTTTTCTCTGAAGGCCCAATCTAAAACCAATATTCACAAAAAATTCTTCAGATTATGAGAATTAGTTGTTTCAATTATGTATTTGTCATATTTTTCTTGAATATTAACTATTTGTTTCGCGCATTCGAAATACATAGTAACATAATTTACCAATGTAGTATCCTTTCTCCATGTAATGATTGGTCTGGGAGTTCCTAGTGCGATGCATTTCAATGTAACATAGCCACCTTCTTGCACCCTGACATGAGGTTCTTCGGGTTGTTGAATCATTGCAGGTTCACCACCATATTGTAGTGGGATAACGGTAGGCCGTGATGTTGTCGTCGAAACTTCTTCCGGTGCAGGTTCCAGACAGGAGGTGCCGCAACCACTGTTACAGCATTTCCATTCTCCAGGACAGTCCGCATCCGTAACACATTCTTGTTCACATCTTGTGCTGTTGGATACTTTTGGGCAACGACCGGATTTAACAACTGCAATGTTACATACATACACACATAATATACTTATTTATTTACGGACAAATTCATAGGGAGATGACCAAGTTTAACACAAAAATATTTTTAAAAGTGTATACTTCTCTATATAAGAGTGATGATAACAATTTAACTGTCTCTCTCTCTCTCTCTCTCTCTCTCTCTCTCTCTCTCTCTCTCTCTAATTTTTAAGAAAGTTAATTATTTAACATGCACCGCTGTTTACATGTCGCTTATTGCGCAAATAAAATTTTTTCTTAGACGTATATAAATATTACGATCGTTGGTTATATATTTATATGTTTGATGATTGTACAAAGAATTATTCAAAAATTAATATGATAAAAAAATGTAGAAATAAGATAAAAATTCTGTAATGTAATTTTGTAAATGTAGAAATAAGATAAAAAAAAGATAAGTTGCTTACTCGACTGACAAACGCCTTTGTATTCCGTGCCATCTTGCGTAGCGACTAATGTAATGGCGCATCGATTACTCTCAGGACAGATCTTTGTTCTACAAGGATCGACACAACGACAGCGTTCGCAATCCTGCGAATCCACGTATTGTTCCTTACCGTATGGACAACGGATAATATTACACTCTTCCTTGGCCTCTGCGCATTGATCTTTCGTATCCTTTGAATCCACATCAATTTCATTACTCGCTGTAATTAGAATAAGAAAAATTACTAAAAAATTTTATCTTCTCGAGCTACGAGCGTAACTTTAATATAAGAAAAGAAATAAAAGCTATTGACACATTTGCGACATAGAAATAGCATCCAGCGAAGGAGAGAAATATAAGTAGTGAAATATACTTTAAATTTTCGTATACTTAAAAAAGCTTTCTATATTTTCAATTTTATATCAATTTGCGTTATCAAATACGTAAAAATTATTAAAGCTGTTATGTTTTATTTGCGATTGCATCTTGAAGAAGAAAAATTTTATACATATATAATTTTATCTCATTCACGTTTATGTCTGATTGTAAATTTAATTACAACGGAAGAATTTTTAAATTATCTAAATTTTTAAATATATTTTAAATAATACAGATACGTTTTTAATCGTATGTTAATCAAAGGATTAAGAGAAAATAAAATATCGCATAAATAAAATTGCCAAAAAAGCGAGAAAAGTCTTTAAACATATAGAAATACATAAGGAAATGGAAATCGTATATAAACATATACATTTATAAAAATACAATTGCTGTACATTGTAGCATAGCTGAGTGGCAATATCTGTAATAATAAAAAGAGAATAATAAATTCATTAACGATCTTTTATCCTAAACTTACTCCTAAGGCAAGTGTTAATGCAAGATTCGAAAGTTTTGAATCTGTTGCGATTGCCACCACATCCGGTATAAATAAACGCCCGGCACGTTTGATGTTCCTCGTCGAAATAGAATCGCTTTGTAGCACCGGATGTACAAGATCCACTATCAACTGGTTCTTTACAGATTGCTGTATCATTATTATAAACACTGTTATACAATCTATCTATTTTAAAGTAGTATAAAAATTCTACAAAAATATGATTAATGAAAGTTAACAGCTTGAAAGTATTGTTTGGGAGGAAACAAATAAAGAGATAATGATAAAAATATACGCACATAAATTTAAAACGCTGGTGTCATTTCCGGGAGGTACAGGCTCTTCATGATGTATGCAAATAGATTCGCATTCAGAAATTGTACTGAATCTGTTAGCGTTGCCGTCGCATCCACCGTAAATGAATTCACGGCAAACACGTAAACCTGGTTCATAATAATATTTACGGAAAGCACCTCTACATGGGCCGGAATCCACAGCGAGATTACACATATCTGAAAAGAGAACATTAATCTAATAAATCTCATTTTAATTATATTAAATAATCTTTTTAAAGAAATTTAGTGAAAAGGTTAAAAAAAAAGGTTAAAAAAAGGTTAAAAAAAATAGAGACAATTTCTAATAGTTTTAAACTTTAATCTTTAGGATTTTATTTTTCGATTAATGTGATGTTTAATAATTTATTTCATGTCTATGTAGATTTTATTACAAAGTGGTAAGAAAACAATGTAAATTATACTAGAACTCGTTATATAACCTTGTCTGTGAAATCTTCCGCAGAGTCGCTCGCATTGTTCTTCGGTTTGAAATCTATTAGCATTTCCACCACATCCGCCATAAATAAACGCCTGACATATCTGATGTTGGGCATCGTAGTAATACGCGGTGATACTGTCACTACACTCGCCAGAATCGACTGGCGCCAAGCAAATCGTACTCTTTGGTTCTCCAGTCGGCGGAGTTATCGTGGCTAATGTTGAAGTAATCTCCGGTGTAATCGCAGCCGTTTGCCGTCTACATTTTTTCTCGCAAGATTCTCTATCCTGGAAGCGATTTTTGTTGCCTTGACAGCCGCTATACTCGAACTCGTAGCAAGAATCAGTGCGTTTGTCATAGTAGAATTGCTTTACGAAACCATCACAAGGACCGATCACTTCTGGTAGAGTGCAAGGATCTGAAATTTTCGTAATTTTTTTGGATAGTTGCAATACTTTTTGAGTTTTTTGTAATATGTAAATCAAATGAAAGTATTAAATAATTCTTTTTCTGTAATTAAACAATTTCATTTTACATGTTCTAAGTTTCCATAATTTTTATAACAAGTATAATTTTCGAAACTTTTATTCTTTCATATACCTATACATTCTTTTATTTTGCAGCTATTTATGTTTTTATATACAGCTTTATATCT